AAGTCCCAGCTCCCTCGAAGGGGACACGGGGCAGAACTGCAGCCATAAAAAAAGTCCTTTTTTGGGGTGGAAGGGCAGCTCCAAAATGCAGGTTCATCCTCCCGTGCTGAGGAGTCGTTTCCTGTTTACGCCCCGGCTCTGCCACCTTCGCCTCCGTCATCACATCCCCTTCCTAGCGCCGAGGAAAGGGGCAAATTCTTCCTTTTTTGGGTCTGGAGAGAGCCAAAAACGCGGAGGGGAGAGGCGGCTCCTGGAGCGCCCCCGGCACTGCCGACCCCGACACCCCGCCCTGGCTTGGGGAAAAGGCNCTGGAGAGAGCCAAAAACGCGGAGGGGAGAGGCGGCTCCTGGAGCGCCCCCGGCACTGCCGACCCCGACACCCCGCCCTGGCTTGGGGAAAAGGCTGGGAAGCACCGGGAAAGGCTGGGAATCACCGGGAATGGCTGGGAATCACCGGGAATGGCTGGGAAGCACCGGGAATGGCTGGGAGCCACCGGGAAAGGCTGGGAGACACCGGGAATGGCTGGGAACCACCGGGAAAGGCTGGGAGACACCGGGAATGGCTGGGAATCACCGGGAATGGCTGGGAACCACCGGGAATGGCTGGGAATCACCGGGAATGGCTGGGAATCACCGGGAATGGCTGGGAATCACCGGGAATGGCTGGGAGACACCGGGAATGGCTGGGAGACACCGGGAAAGGCTGGGAACCACCGGGAAAGGCTGGGAGACACCGGGAATGGCTGGGAAACACCGGGACAGGCTGGGAATCACCGGGAAAGGCTGGGAGACACCGGGAATGGCTGGGAAACATCGGGAATGGCTGGGAGACACCGGGAATGGCTGGGAGACACCGGGAATGGCTGGGAAACACCGGGAAAGGCTGGGAGACACCGGGAATGGCTGGGAACCACCGGGAATGGCTGGGAATCACCGGGAATGGCTGGGAATCACCGGGAATGGCTGGGAAACACGGGGAAAGGCTGGGAATCACCGGGAAAGGCTGGGAGCCACCCAGGTCAAAGCGCTGGCAAAGTGGAAGTCGCTGCATTGCTCAACCCTGGCAGTCTGGGGCCGTGTCCGTTCCCGTGCCTCAGTTTCCCCCTCGGAGCTGACGCGGTTCCGCCGTGCCCCGCCCGGCCCGAGCCTCTCCTGGCGCTTTGCAAAGCGCTTTTTTCACAGCTCCAGATCAAACCAAGGAGGGTCCCGGCCCTCTCTGCCCCCTCCCGGCTGCTCCCGGGCCTGACGGAGCCCACAGAGCCCAGACTTGCTCCCTCCCCCAGAAACAACCCCCAAAGCCCGTCCCGCATCCCCGCAGCCCAGCCCGGCCGCATCCCCAGCCCCGCACAGCTCCTGCGGAGCCCCGGGGAGCTCCAACACAACAAAACAAGGAAAAAAGTGGCCAAACCCCCGCCAACAGAATTTTCAGCAGGAGAGCGATGTTCTTCCCTTCTCCCGCAAAGAAATCTGCGTTTTTAGGGGGGATTTGCTGCCTCGATCCCACCGCCACCCCCGCAGCATCCCCCGCCGGGGCGGGAGGCGCGGATCCGGCGCGGCCGAGGCATTGTGGGAATATCCCGCTCCCCGCGGAGGCCGCGATGCTCCCCGCGGCCCGGGCCGGCTTTGAAGCGGCCCCGGGGGCGCTCCGGTGCCCGGAGCATCGCCCGGAGGCGGCGCAGCCCCCGGCAGCCGCGGCGCGGGCGGGCCGGAGCCGAGCTCACGCCGCGGGTCCTGCGGCGGAGCGGCCGCGCTGCCGCCCGCGGAGCTCCGCCAGCGCCGGGCTGCGGTGCCTGCCCCGCGGCCCTAGGCGGGGAGCCGCGGCCGCTCCATTGTCTTCCAGCGCCGCTATTGTTCTCCGGCCCGGCCGCTCCGTCCTGGAGCGGGAGAGGGGAAGGAGCGAGCGCGGAGCGGCGGAGGGGAGCCGGGTCACCCGGGGACAGGGGGGCCGCGCTCGGGGTGAAGCTCCGGGAGGAGCCGGTGGCCGCCAGGGGCTCCCGGTGGGCCCCGGGACAGCGGCGGGCGGGACGGGGCGAGAAGGTGCCGTGCCCGGCGGGAGCCGCGGCCGCCCCGGCGCGGCGCGGAGGGCGATGCCGAGCTCGCCCGGGGGTGGCCGAGGGGACACCGGGGGTCGGGCCGGGTCCCCCCCGGTTTTCCCCGAGCTCCCGGCGCGGTTTTCCCCGGCTCAGCCCCGGGGCCGCTCCCCGCGCGGGGCACGGGGATGGAGAGCGGGATGAGGATGGGGATGGGGATGGGGATGGGGACGCCCCATCCCGCCGCACTCACCCGGTGCCGGTGCCGCTCCGCTCGCAGCCGGTGCTCCCGCAGGGCCGCCCCTGGGCGGGGCGCGGGCGGGGCCGGCGGTGGCAGCGCGGGGACATCCCGGAACCCGGATCCGGGGGACGCCCCGGCTGCCAGGGCCGGGGACCACAAAGGATGCCACCTCCGGCAGCCGGGCGGCCCCCGGCCGGACATCCCGAAGGATGCTCCAGGGATGTTCCCAAAGGATCCGGGGTCCCGAAGGACGCCCTGGCTCCAGCCGGGTTGCGCCTCAGAACGGGGCCTGAAAGGATTCTCCAGCCCTGGTGCCAAGACCAGAGTGCCAAAGGATGCTGAATTCCCACCGTCACAACCAGGATCCCAAAAATCCCCCATTCCCGATGGCAGGATCCCAAAAATCCCCCATTCCTGCTATCAGGATCAGGATCCCAAAAATCCCCCATTCCC